TCCTTCCTTCCTTCCTTCCTTCCTTCCTTCCTTCCTTCCTTCCTTCCATTTTTTCTTTATGTGTTTTATTTTTTTCCTAGCAAGAACACACTGGTTAACTATAGGGTTGGGTCTGTGTCCTATGAGTCACATGGTTTTTCAAATTACCTAAAGCATCTGAACAGTGCAAAGACTTCAGAGCGTTCCCACCCAACTTCTCAGGGTTGCCCAGGGAGGGATGGTGCGAACCCTCCTCGTCGCCTCACCAACCTGCTAAGTGGGGCAAGGAGTGGAAGCCCAGGCATTCAGAGTAAAACACCTGGTTTGGAGATACTCCAAGGTGTTTGCTGCCACCTGGGAGAAGGAATGGGCCCTGTGAGCTGCACTGGAGGACGGGGAGAGGGTCGGAGGGGCGTGATGTTAAGCTGGAGACGACCCCTTGAGAGTGTCAGCATCTTCAAAGAAACCCGACAACAGGGAGCCCGTGTGGGTCACAGGACACAGCTCACAGCATTCAAACAGTCGTGACAGCGGGTTCCAAGAGGAAACACAAAGTGTGCATAAGGCTTTCTGTAGCTCCTGAAAGAAGTGGTCAGGCCAGGAAAGTCGCTTACCTATAACTTCATAAAATGCACATTTCAGAAAAGGCATAGGATGGTTTTGACGCACCTTGTTGATTTTCACTATTCAGTGGACAGAAAGGGGGGGGGGAAAGCCTTCTAAAAAGGATTTTACTAAATGCCTTTAGGAGTAAAAACAGTTCACAAACAGATTTTCTCAAGTCAGATAATCAGGTGCTGGCTGAAGAGAGTCCTAAGTCTTGAAGACTTCTCCTGACAACACGGTGCCATCTTGAAGCCAAGGCGTCCCTTCGTCTGAGTGGGTCTCCTAAGCTCCCGCGGGACAGTCCCAGTCTAAGGCCAGGGGGATGAAACTGCCTGATGTGCGGCTGATGCCACCTCAGGTCAGGTCTGCAGACACAGAAGAACTCTGCAGGATGCGCCCCATCCACTTCTGCCTTGCCTCCCCCACAACCTGGAGGAGACCACACCCGAGGCCTCTGCCCACTGGCTGACATCATCCCTGAAATCTCTGCAGGAAGCCGGACACTGAAGCTCAATGGGGCACATAAGGCAAGAAACATGTTTAGTGAGGGAGGGGTAGGGGGGTTAGGGGGCCACACGTCCCGAGGCAGGGATCTGTCCCAGCATCACACTGTCCTCTAGGTGGGCAGCGGATCATCATCACCTTTACTGCACTTACACTTGCAGCAAAGTACAAAGGGTGTGGCCAGGAGCAAAAAAGGGGAGGCCACAAGGAGCAGGAGCCCAAATCCAGCAAAGATTCCCACCACCTAGAAGGGAAACAGAGAGGAGAGGTGAGGGCGCTGGTTTGTAGTTCCACAGCTGAAGTTTAAGCTGCAGCCCCACCCACCACTTCATCCACACATCCGATCATGCTTCTATCTCTCCATCCACAGGCCCACCATTTAGTCTGTCCATCCACATAGCTATCCATCCTTTGTATTCAACTAGTCAGCTAGCTACCCATCCGTCTGCGTCTTCATTCACACACTCACCCCTCCACCACTCCACAGAGTCACATGTGCATCCAGACACCATCTACACAGTCATTCATTCCCTCCACCCCTCCACGGAGCCACGCATGCATTCAGACACCATCTACACAGTCATTCATCCCCTCCACTCCTCCACAGAGCCACACATGCATCCAGACACCATCTACACAGTCATGCATCCCCTCCACCCCTCCACGGAACCATGCATGCATCCAGACACCATCTACACAGTCATTCATCCCCTCCACCCCTCCACGGAGCCACGTGTGCATCCAGACGCCATCTACATGGCCATGCATCCCCTCCACGGAGCCACACATGCATCCAGACACCATCTACACAGTCATTTATTCGTTACATCTTTAACCATCAGCCCCGGCCTCCTCTCTCCCCCTGCCTATCCAACCAACCATTGGTGCATTTACTTGTACTCCTTTCTCGTCATGAGTTCCACCCCCATCCACTTTTCTATGTATTCAGCTAATTACTGATTTCTCCCCGCCCCCGAGCAACCAGTGTTTGGTAGACGATGGTTAGCTATTACAAACCCACAGATATCTGACACTCCAGCAGAACACTGTCTAATAGAAAGGCGAAGATTTCATTAAAGGCTCATACAGGAAGTGGGTTAGTTTCAGTTAAAGGTCATCTAAGAAGTAGAGGCCTACCTTGTTAGAGGACAGGAAATGGCTGAGAAGACAAAGATGTCCGGAAGGTTTAGTGTCTAAGAGGGCAAGGACAAGACCCTTCAAATGGGGGAACTAGAATGTCACGGACGTGGAACATCAGACATTACATTGAACTACCCTTACCTTTCGGATTTTAAAACCTAACGTGGACTGTTAAATATTTTTATTATTATTAACATTTATTTAGTTAGTTTTTTTTTCCAGACAAGGTTTCTCTGTGTTGCCCTGGCTGTCCCAGAACTCTCTCTCTCTCTCTGTAGACCAGACTGACCTTGAACTCATAGAGATCTACCTGTTTCTACCTCTGTAGTGCTGGGGTTAAGGGTGTGCACTGCCACTGCCCGGCTATATTTTGATTTTTTGAAAACTCGTTTTCCCTCCCCCCTCCCCCCCAGGTATAAAGCCCAAATGAAGGCCTGCTGACATCTACACCAGCCAGTGGGACTGTTTCAAATGAACAGGGTCTTCTTTTCCCTAGCCTTGCTTAGATCAGTCACACTCAGCCTACTGAAAGCTAAATATGGAGTTCGACTGCCACCTAGTGTTCAAGATGATAAATACACGACTTCTCCAAGTCTGCTTTCTCAACTTTGGAATAAACAAATAATCTCTAAGACCCACTCTACTGTAAAGCGTCAAACACATAGGAAGGAAAGAACTCCTTCACTAGAATCTTTCCCGGAAACAAATCACACACATATATACATACACCACAGTGCACCCATGCAGTGCATGCCCACACTTATAAAAAAGATCACACGTGATGCAAGACATCACAGTGTACTGATAAATAAGACGCTGAGCCACAGCCAGGAAGCTCATTGGATAAGCATAATGCTGGAGGCGGGATCACACCAATCAGGTCAGGTGATGTGTGAAAAATCACATGAAGACCGTGGGAGCTGGAGAGATGTCTCAGCACTTAGGAATGATGCTGCCCTTACAGAGGAACGACAGAGACAGGGGGTTACTGGTCACTTCTCTGCCGCCTCTCTGGCCATTCCGGTTCTTATCCCAATATCTGACTCCCGAGCTTTTATTGATAAAGAATAATTAGATAAACGCATCAGGACATGATGGTCAGGCCCTAGAGCATGTGGGTGATAGAGAGATGGGCCAAGGCTCCCGAGAGCGTCACTACACACAAGCTGACATCAGCTTTGGAAAGCAATGAGCTGCCAGACAACACGGCTCCACGTGAGTTTGATAAGCCAATGCTGATAGATTAGAAAGAACACAAGCTTTGTGACCATGTCAAGTCCCCCTTCTAACAGATGTCCTGGGATGGTCCACTGAGCAGAGAAACAGCACGTGGCCAACGGTCTTCCCAGAGACTCCAAACGGCATTCAAACTTGGGAAGACCAAGTCCAAATCAAAGCTATGGAAAGGTGAGTGAGGTCCTTAGACTTCACTGAGGGAGCAAAACTAGGCCTGAGATGATGGAGTCTCACTGAGTCTCTGGATTAAATTCCAGTCCAGGATTCTCATTTTTAAAAGTTTATTTATCTGTGTGCACAATCGTGTGGGTGTGTGTACACGTGTGTGTTAGCCAACGTTGGGTGTTTTCCTCAGTGACACTCCAACTTTTATTTTTATTTTTGGAGATAGGGTCTCTCCCTTAACGGGAACTCAGAGATTTGGCTAGACTGTGGCCAGCAAGACCCTGTCTCCACTCCCTTGTAGTCTGCTGGGACCATAGGTGCATGCCTCTGCATCCAGGTCTCCGTGTTCTTGTGGTACAGATGCAAGATCTATGACACAATGTGCTTTTCTAAAGGTCCATATTGTTCCAGCCTCAGATGCTCAGCCTAGTGTCAGGCAGCTCTGCAGGAACCCCAGCCCTTCACCCAGGGGTGGGGGGTGGGCAGGACCTGGCTCATAGCCTCTCATGCACAAGGGAATGCACAGTTGAAAACCGGCTGGCCCAATGGCCTGAACTGAGCTTCCTGGCTGGACTAGACTGGAGTGGAAAAGTCTCTCTTTGCTGCTCACAGAGGAACGGGAGCTTGGATAGGACTCTCCTGGCAGACACCTGCCAGGATGAAAGATGAGCTTTGCTCTAGTGGGGAGACATTTTCTCATTCACAGCATGCAAGTGTGTTGGAATGGAGGGAGCATTTGACAGTGGGGGCTGAGTAAAATGTAGCATGCAACGCTTTATACTCAGAAAACTGATAAAAACTAGCTGTAATGTCTCCAAAGAGCAAAGCCCCCAAGTCTGCTAGAATGATGCTACAAAACTTTATAACAAAGAAAAGTAAGGAAGCAGGAACCCACAAAATCACCATACACCAAGGACAACACCCTCAAATACTGTGGCCACAGTTTGCTAGACTTGATGTTGACCATAAATGCCACAGAGATCTGAGTTGAGCAGGACCCCCAGCCACAGACAGAAGCATTCCCAGAATCCCGACTCTTGTGAAGTTCTCTGCAGTGGCTTCGTCTGTGGCAACGGAAATCACCTGACTCGTTTGCAGGGTGGGTGGGTTAATGTCAGGACTTTAGTTGGTGCAGAAGTAGATAGTGGGTGCTGAGATGCCCGCCAGGATAAGAGTATTGCATGTGCCTACCTGCGGGAGCCTGTCAAATCGAAGTCAAAATCCCCAGCTTAAGACTGAAGACATGCTATGTGCAGGGTGCTTTAGAGACAAGACTATATGGGAGACAAGACAGGAGCAGGTTTTCGAAATGGAAGGAAGGAATGCAAGTGGAAGAGAGGGGCAGGAGGGGGCCTCGGGCTGTTGTGAGGCTTCCAGCCTGCTTTGTAGAGGGGGAGATGATGCTACATGTGGTATGGAGATCTTTAAGTGAGACCGCGGAGCATTTTCTCCTGAGGCTCTAAAACTTGTGGGTATCCAGGGTCAGCCTTAGTCTACGCCACGGTGCCCACTCTCTCCCTTCCCAGGCCATGTCTGATCCCGTTACATTCCATATGCAGAGTATCTCTCTACTCTGGGAAAAGGAACAGGGCACTGAGGTTACACGGATGAGCAAACCCTTGCATCAAGGACAGGCTGATGTCCTACAAGAGGAAAGACAGATGCAGTGTCCAGAGGGGAAGGCAGATGTTGGAGCGACAGGAATGGTGTGGGTGCAGCCTGTTCCTAAGGGATGGAAGGGGACGTCACGTTATTCAAGTCGGACCTAAGGCCTAAATGAGCTGCACGGAGTACAGGTGGAATCTCAGAGCTGGGTGTGGGCAGGAAACAGAGATCCATGGGTAATGAAGACCAAGGCTAAGCAGATGCAGGAGAGCTTGGGAGGTTTTGGGCCAAGCCCCTAAGCACAAGGAACATGTGAACCCAGGTCCCTACTTAGTCTAGACTCTGTAAACACCCAATAAAAGTGTCACCAGCCTATTGATGACAGATGATAAACCTCTGTCTCTCAGTGTCATTAACAAATCTGTAGAAGCAGAGCTAAGGCAGGGAACCTGTCCAGAGAGGAAATGGGGGAGGTGCAACTGGATCCAGAACAGGAAGGCTGGCAGGGGAACAGGGCCTCTCCAGGCAAGCCACCGAGCCAGGCAAGCCACAAGAATAAAGGGGTCTTTGGGGGCCATGAGCACGCCACGGTGTGTTGGGTTTGGATAAAACTGAAAGCTACGGGGACTTAGCACAGGGCCTAGCCTTGTGGGCAAATGCACAAAGTATGTGGGTAGAGAAACCTTGGGACACGATCTCCCTCGTAGACAGACACACGTCTGCCCTTTGCCCCTGCTACATCACACAGTCAGGTCACTGCTGGGATGACCTTCCTTATCCTGAGCCCTGGTTTGCTCACTGCTCTTCATTTGTTTCAATCCAGGTCTAACTTCTGATGTCTTGTGCTCCCTTTCCCATGGCCAGCGTGTCTCTGAAATGCAGTACACCATATATCAGCATTCATCCTAATGAGGACAACTCTGCTATTGCAGGTGACACCTCTGCCATCCACTGGCATAGATGCTTTGAGATGATGCTGTTTAAATAGCACAGAACCCCACAGCAACTCACGCACTATAACGACCAGGGAATGAATGGGTAGGGGCATCAGGCCTGGCCAGCAGTTGGTTGTCTGCTTCTAGATAATACTTTCCAGGGAATCCCCTCAGCTCTGCCGCAGACACTCACACTCACGGGCTTCCTTCCCCCATCAACCTGGAGCTAGGAGCGCAAGGAAATGAAGCTACAGTTAGACCCACTCCCAGCTCTAGGTTACCGACCCTCCGTCTTTAGATGGACTGGCTCAGCGACCTCGGAGAACTCCTGGGAAAGCCTGGGAAAAAAGCCCCTTCCATGGCAACCGGGAGTAAAGCTGCCTCCACTCCCCTAACCCTTTGTAGCTCCCAACTTCAGTGTAAATCAAATCCATGTCTGGCAAAGCCCTTGGAGATGTGGCCTTGCTAATCTCCCAGACTAACCCCATACTCCCTGTCTCACAATCCACATGGCCCTGTCCTTCACAAACCAATCAGTTCACTTGCCCCGTCTTCTCTGCCCTGTCCCTCTATACACAAGCTTACTCCCTGACACTCAGAAGTAGCACTAACACACAAGGAACCTCCCCACCACGTCATCTTAGAGTCCTTCTGCATCCCTCACTCCATAGCTTCTTTATGTCACGGGGGAGTCTGCTGGTTCATCTCTTCCCTTGGCACTTAATAGAAGGTAGGGTCCATAGAGGAACGTCTTACAGACGTGGCTGGCACACAGGCACTAAACACCCCTCCACATGGAATTCAACACTGCAGAATCAGCTGACCCTAAGGCCATTTACAGGCTCTGCAGACAGCAGAGATGTTCCCTGACTTCCCCATCATCTTTTTTTGCTAGCAACTTGCTTGCCTCTCTCAGGACAGCTCGAAACAGCTTTTCACCAAGGACCAAGAGTAACAATATGGTCAGCAGGCAGGTGTGGTCAAGGCCAAAGTCAGGATTCTTGTGCAAGTAACAGGTCTGATATTAGACACCGATGTGCACATATTCAAACACTGTGCCAGGGCCATCAGCATCACTAGAAAGTCTTCTAGCACACACACACACACACACACACACACACACACACACACACACGTTTTCTTGAGCTCAAAGTTCAAGGTAAACAGCCTGTTACCTGTGTCCGATGCCAGATCACTGATGCCCGGGAGTGGCCCAACTTGTTGCGACAAGGCCCCTTGTCATAATGTATCAGAAGGAAGTCATCCTGCGAAGGGCAGAGAAAGGTGGGCTGTGAACAGGTGACTCCAGCTCTCGGTATAACCTATGTTCTAGACACACAGTGTGTGGACACAGGCATGGGTGACAGCCAGGGAACGTGCAGACACTCGGGTACCGCTCCTCTGGGCCACCATCCTTATCCACAGAGCAGTCAGGGGGAACGGTAAGCCTCATTCGATCGAGGGAGTCTTGGGGCCAGATCTCAGTACTGAGCTGGGGAAGGATCTCCTGAGTATAGTGACATTTCTGAAGCTTGAACCAATAGGTGACTGAAGAGGAAGATCAGGTTTCTTCTGGGCTGGCCTGTGTCAGATCCAATGAGACCAGACCAGCTTCTCACCAGGCCAGTCCTCCCTCGGGGCAGATTTTCAGAAACCTTCTGTAACGCTACTCTTTACTCAAGAACCAGTCAAGCCACTACCCTCTCTACCCACAAGTTCTCCCATCTAGAGTAAGCTGGCATCCCATGTCGGTACCTAGAGAACTGTCTGCTCCATGCCTCCCTCCACGTGGCCTCTTAGGAGAGTCACTTCCAGGTGGCTGGGCTGAGGGCTCATTGTGTCGGTCACCTCTGAGGGCTCTCACCACTCAAGGGGCCTCAATATGTTCAAGCACCACTGGGTATTGGGGACAGGTATTCTCTGCACCCCCCCCAAGACCCTGCCCATCCATCACCAACAGGAAACAGGTAGGAGACAGTACCAACAGCCCAATACCCTCTGTTCACTAAACCAAGGCCACCAACGAGAAGCTTTCTTTGAAGAAAAGAGCAAATGATCACAGGGTCCAATATGACTCAAAGGACAAGAAAACCAGAGAAACCAAACCTAGGATACCGCCACCCACCAACTTCTGGCTCCTCGGGTCCTAGAGGGGCAGAGAAGCCATCCTGCCTCTGGTGCTGTAAAGGGCTCCAACCTGGAGTTTGCTGGCTTAAGGTCAAGCCTCTCAGGGTGTGAATAAATGGCAAGGTGGCCATAAAGCCTGGCTTTGATGATGCAGCTCACCAAACAAGGACGCTAGAGGCAGAAGATCAGCAGCTGTCTCGCCTTCCCAGGACAGGTGAGGCCCTACTGAAACTCCATCTGGCCACTTCTGCCTGCTGTGAGAATTTGGGGTGGCGGGGTCTGTGTGTATGTGTTTCCCTCAGGAAGAGTTCACATCTTTCTGACTTGTCAGGCTACCTTGCAGCAGAAAATGATGGGCAAACGACTGGGCCACACCTCGGCCAAGGTTGCTAAGTTTTGTCTTATCTCTTGTCCTCTATTTTAATCCAAACCTCATGTTGGCACATGAAAGACTGAGTGTGTGGGGGTGGGGCTTCCATTCTCAGTTAATCCTCTCTGAAAACATCCTTTACACCCCCATACACCCACGTTCACCCACACGTGTGTGTCTAATGCCCTAGGAGTTTTTTTTTTTTAATTAAGTCAAGTTGATGCCATAAAACAATGATCACTGGGTCTTAAAGAAGATGATTTTGTGTCGCCCTTAAGCACATCATGGTTTCCTTCTAAAATTAACCATCACTGCCATCCAGCGCAGATAAAAACAGGCTCCTATCAGGAGGCGCGGTTCAGTTCACTTGGCCTGTTGCTAACTACAATGCTTAGCAGGTGATTTGATAGTCTTGTAAAGGACACGTGATCAAACTCTTCCAAAACCAAAGTCATTCTGGAAAGTCGCCCTCCTGCTCAGCTTCATCTGTCCACTTGACATAGCCTAGCGTTGCCCAAGGAGGGACTTCTAATTGAGGTCTGTCAAGATCAGACTGGCCCATGGGCCTGTCTGTGAGGCATTGTCTTGACTGATGTGAAAGAGGGTAACCCACTGTGGGCAGCACCATCCCCTAGGGCAGGTAGCCCTAGCCTCTATCGGCTAGCCAGGCTGGGAGTGGAGAGGCAGCAAGTGGCATTTTCCCATGGATTCTTCCAGTACCTGTCCTGACTTCCTTGTAAAATTTAACACAGAAACAAGCAAACGAAAGAAAACCTTTCCTAAAGGGCTTTTGATCAAAGCATTTATGGTAGCAACAGAGAGGAAACCAGAGAAAGAGGCAGTGAGAAATCATTATAGCAGCAGCAGGAACATAAGGGGCTGGACATGGAGAACACAAAGGCAGATGGTTGCTGTATGAGGCTGGCAGACAGCACAGGGAATGTATGTTTCCTTTCAATGTAGATGCAGCATAGAGATTCTCCAATGCCCAGCATGCTTTGCTGCTGTGCCCTTTCATTTTTCCTACTATCCCACCAACTGAGTGTGCTTCCTACCACCCAAATTCTGGGATTCATCAGGGTTCCAAGTCTCAGTATGGCGGTGTCTGCAGGTGGGCCTTTGGGGGTGACTAAATTTAGATGACGTCATGGGGAAGGAGTCCCTGACAGGATTGGTGTCTTTGGAGAGACCAGCGCTTGCTCTTCCCAACATGGTCAAGGGAGAAGGCAGTCATCCAAAAACCAGAATGGAACCTTCACCAGACCCCATCTGTCAGCTGCCATAGTCCAGTCCTCCAGCCCCTGAACTGGGGAAATAGATGTCTGCTATTTGTCACCCAGTTTGTGGTACGCTGTCACAACACCCAGGCTCATCAGGATTAGTCTAAGACACCCAAAGACATTCACCACCTCTTTTTCTGTTGGGAGCAAAAGTACCTGTATGACCTGCTACTTGCACGACCAAGAAGGTCCCAGTTTCTCCCCTAGGCCTTTAAGATCACACAGGTAGCCCTATCTAGAACCCATCTCCGTGGAAGAAGTGACATGTACTTGGAGTTTCAGTGTAACTGTGTTTCCTTGTGCACACAGGATTGCGTTATACCAGGAAACATTTCCCCCAACTCTTACTGGGCTTAAATATGGCTAAAATAAACTGCCCGGGGTTGGACTTGATAGGTTTAACCCAGCACTGGCTACTGAGTCAAGTTGAACCAGACTTTCTTCTTGCCACACAGGGATCATTACTCTGCCAGCCCTGGTGTTTTTCAAAGACCCCAACACTCTTCAGCTGAACCCCAAGCCTGTCCTATGCTTCTTTATCCAGCAGCAGTAACCAAGCTTCACCTCGGGGAACCTGGATTCCCATAAACACAGGAGAATCATGCCCTGGTGTTACTTCTCTGCCACCGGCTTGCCCTCCAGCTTCCCCGGGGAAAGCATCTCCAGCTTCCTCTCTCACGGACCTGAACTAAGGGCTCATGGCTGCCACGCGAGGCTGCCCAGTACTTACGTCCAGAGACTCCAGGCAATACCAGCAGAAGGCGTGCTTGCAGTTCTTACACATCATCTGCGCGCAGCCCTCATCCCGCTCGATGTACACCCTGCACTTGGGGCAGCGCTTGATGGGCGCGTCGCCCTCTTCCATCTTGAAGGCAGAGCTGTGGGAGACACACGATGAGGGTCGTGCAGTGGGGATCAAGAGAGACCCAGCAGCGGGGCTGTGCTGAGAGCATCTAAGAGCACCTCTCTACTGCAGGGACCCCAGACCTCTTGGTACTAAAGACAAAGAAACGAAAACCCTGGGAAACAAACAGCCAAAGTATGGCGAGCGAATCTGCCCAGTTAAGGTAAAAACAAAATAAAAACAAAAAGCAACAACAGCACATACCTAACTTTATATTTCTCTAATAAAAAATCCTAATATAGAGCTCAGAGCTTATACTGGGGGAACATGAAGAATGGTGTTGGGGCTTCAGAAATGTGTGCATTTCCCAAAGAGTGGATAATACATTTTATGCAGTTTGGTCTTGTCAGAAAAAAGAAATCATAAGCATACACACACAAAAATCCACACTTGCTTTCGAAGAGCTACCCGGCCTGCTTGTCACTACCGTTTCCCGGAGGACCTAGGATGGATGTGCAATGCTTATTATAGCCCTAAGTCTGGCAGCAGATGCTGGCTCCTCCACAAACCAGCTACAGGACACCCCTACAAGCCTCAGTCTTCAATGTGAGCCTAAGAAAGCACCCTCCTCGGGCCAAGGAACTGTGCTGGTTTGGATAAGAATGGCTGCCATAGGCCATATTTGAATGCGTAGTCATCAGAGAGTGTTTGAGAAGGCTTAGAAGGATTAGGACAGGTGCCTTTTTAGAGAAGGTATGGCCTGTGGGAGGACATATGTCGCTGGGGGTGGGCTCCCATCATGCTCAGTGTCTCCATCCCCACCTCCACCTGCAGATGAAGATGTAAAGCTCTCAGCTACAGCTCTAGCACCATGCTTGACTGCTTTCCGTCACGATGATCACACACCAATCCTCTAAAGCTCTAAGCCAGCCCCCAGTCAAATGCTTTCCTCCAGAAGAGGTGCCTTGACCATGCAGTCTTTACACAGCAATGGCACAGTGACGAAGACAGTAACGGGTAAGAAGGGACAAGAAGTCAGCGCTGATAATGTTTCCAACATAGAACAGGTATTTAGGCACCGCTGAGGAATACCAGCCGTGACATTTTTCTAAATAGGGCTATTCTCTTAAATATATATTCATGACAACATCTGGAAGAAGAAGTGGTAAAGGCCAAGAGAAGAGACAACAGACTGTGAGGCTGCGTAAAGTACTCTGTTAGAATCCGCAGCATCAATCCAGTATGTCCTGGAAAGAGATGGCTCCCCTTCGAGCCAATAACCAGTGCTGTCCAAGCGCACAGTTGAAGTCAGGCAGTGGCACTATTAGCAGGCATTGTGGCATAGGATCGTTCCGAAGGGCCACGGGATGTACAAGAGTTAAATGACACCTTAGCATGACCCGTCTGATGATTAGCAGTGAACATTCCTCAGGATTGTGCCTACGGGTTTCCTAAGTGCCATGAGGTGTGACCTCCCGAGTGAATGGGGTTCTCTGTCCACCAATGGGAGGTAACAGGCTAAGAAATCCTGGGAAAGGCTGGGAAGATGGCTCGGTGGGAAGAGTGTTTGCCATGCCAGCACAAGGACTGGAGTTTGGATCCCCAGAATAGATAATATTATATATTATAATACTAAATACATAAAGACTGGGTTGGTGTGTTACCAATCTCCAGTCTCAGCACTAGAGCAGGTAAGGGCAGGGTATCCTATCCTCAAGGCAAGCTGCCTAGCTAGTTTAGCTAACTAATAAGCTGTGGGTTCAACTGAGAGACCCTGCCTCAAAATATAAAATGGAAAGTAATCCAGGAAGATACTTGGTGATAGCTCCCACCTGAATGCTAGGATTATACGCATGCACCATCATGTCTAGTATATGCAGGGTGGTTACTGAACATGGGGCTTCTTGCATGCTAGGCAAGAAGTCTACTGACTGAGCGCATCTTCAGCACCCAAGGAAGTTTTGAGGTAAGGAAAATGCCTGGTCTGGGTGCTCCATTCTTGTTCTTCCTGATAAGAGGCAGGACTCACTCACTTACTAGGGACAAACAACTGAGCTGCTTCCCTGAGTTGATGCCTCATCTCGTTCTAGCTCTGCCCTCCCTGGAAATCAATCTCTGCCGATCACTTTTAATCAAGCCACACAGCAATCATGTTTCTTCCTAGAGTCTGGAAGCTTCTATAACCCTACATCTAAATTCAGTGATCCTTGCTAATATCAAATACCTGACGTGTGCCAGGTCAAAGGCCAAGCATGCATCGCCCCTGAGGGCAGAAGCAGTAGCCATAAGAACAGTGACTTACAACAGAGTAAGTCCTGGATGGTGGTCAAGGCATCCAAACCGAAGCAGGAAAGCCAAGGATGCCATCATCCACCCTACCCTAGAGACAGAGCTGACAGAAGGGAGGGGCGCCCTGCAAAGGGCAGCAAGGGGGTTCTGGGAAAGGGACATGGTGCAAGAGGGACCTGTAGGCCCGGAGACAGCGTACAAACTGAAGAGATGGCAGTGCTGTGCTGGGAGATCAAGAGAGGCTCTGAGGCTGGGGCATGGCCGGGGTATCTTCCCGAAGATGGGAAAATAAAGGAAATCAGGGTGGGGAGGGACTCCTTTGGGTAGGGAGTGAGCAGTCATGATAGTCTCTCCATCAACAGCATGGCCATTTTGCCTAGCTGAACTCCATGGCAGTATACACTCTGCTGGGGAGCGATGCCCCTGATAGAATTAATTTCTTATGGTTCATGCGATTAATTTACAAAGTCCACCTGGGCAAACAGTTGGGCTATGTAACTGGGAGAAGCAAGAGGGAAGAAATTCAGTAGTGTTTTGTCATATTCTAATAGACCCGATTTTAAAGAGTTGTAGGGCTCTTAGCTTCCTGGACCTGGGGACCTACTAGCAGTCTTGTTTGTAGCAAGCACTCACTATGACTAGCGTTCTTATTCCTACACTCCTATTTCTTTCCGATCACCTCCAACAGAGGGTAGCTGTGTGAAAATTGCTGGTAGCAAAGGACTTAATCCGGGTGTGTAGCTTACCGTGCATCTACCTTTTCACGCAGGGAGGAGAGAGAGAGAGAAAAAGAGAGAGAGAGAGAGAGAGAGAGAGAGAGAGAGAGAGAGAGAGAGAGGTTCTTACACATCTTTACATTCCCAGGGGCTTGCAAATGTTCTTACAAAAGTAAAACCACAAGTCTGAAGGAGACTCAGGATGTGGACCTTGTCCTGAGGCCAGTGATTGACAGCCACGCGCTCTCAGGTGGTACTTTCATGAAGGAAGCCTACCTCTTCTGCCAGCTACAGCCCCTGCCCAGCCCACTGATTCCACCACAGCTCCTAGACAGCGGTACCTGCTCTCCCCAGGAAGGAAGGTGATTGGCACGGTCTCGGGGCAGCCTTGGCCAGGGTGCCAGCGGGCTTTGCAGGCCGAGCAGAATTCCATATCACAGGCTTTGCACTGCACCAGCTGGGGGGTCTGGATCCCTATGTCCTGGACTTGGCACACGGCTTGGCAAGTGGATGCTGGGCACCACGTCCGGCAAGGGTCAAAGAGCACTTCTGGTACAAGGAGATAGAAGACGAAAATCAGATGCAGGACACCACGGGCACCGGAGAGGGGGAGCATGGAAAAGAGCTCACTGACTAAGGCAGCTGGAATGGAGGACATCCAGGTGACCCAGCCAGACACACTTCAGACAGACTAATCCTTTACCGCCCCCCTGTTCATACAACCCCACCCAAGCTACTCCCAGCTTTTCACCCTTGTACGCGGTATGCCAAGGGCTCCTGCCGCTGCCATCTTACCCTCCAGTGCCGTTACATTTTCACCCAGCCCAGTTTCTCTTAACGCCAACATCACCAGATTCTTCCTGCACCTCCCCACCCCAGGTTCCCACCACCACCAGGATACATTCCCTGAAGTCAGGTGAAAGTCTTGTCTTGAAACCTCACGGCCCAGTCCCAGTGCCAGGTTCGCACACAGCCACTGGCAAATTTCTGTCGCAAAGTAAAAAGGAAGAAGGAAAGAAGAGGCTGCCATAGTCTTATTGCCTTTCTACCTGTCTGAGGTGGCATACAAAACCCCGGTTTTCACTATGGCACTTCCAGAACGAGGTGTCTTATTTGGTTCGTAATTAGTCTTCTAATTGGTTGATTCACACATTTCAAGACAGATTCTCTTGCCAAGTCTAAGCCTGGGTAAAACCAGGAGCTTGCCTTCCCTGCAGATTGAGCCCAAGCTGCTGCAAAGCCTTTCTTAATGGGACTGGTCAGGAAGTTTACTTTAAAAACAGGATACGGTGGCATTCCTCTTCCTTCACAATCCTGATCCAAAACCCGCATTTATAACTTGTCCTGAGCTGGCCTCCGCGGCGAGCCAGCCGGGCATCTCACTTTCCCTCCTCTCTGGAGGACTTTGCACTCTCACCAGGTGTGGTGGGAGGTGCAAACAGGAGGCTAACTTTCCGACAGAGACCACAGCAGGCCAGCGGATCAAGGGGCCATCTTAAGGTTGCATGGGCCACTGGCCCTCAGCTTTGGAATCAGGTTGTGCTCGAGAAGCAACCTAGGAAGCACTGGATTTTGGTGAAGAAGTTTGCAAAAAGGTGTTCGCTAATGTGCAAAGCAAAGGGTGCTTGTTGACAAACATCCTGGCCCTACCCCAGGCAGCCAGATGCGGCTGCAGCTCACCTGACTCAAAGACAGGAGCCCCACAATGGGACACCCAGGCGACCGAGAGAGTGCAGAGGGCTGCAATGATTAGCATTGGCTGCCAACTTGATCACCAAGTACACAAGCCTCTGAGCATGTCTGTGAGGCAGCTTCTAAATGAGGACAATTGAAGTGAGAAGACTCATTCTTAACTGTAGGGAGCACCATTGCCCATGCATTGGGGTCCTGGACTGAGCTAAGAACAGGCATCCATTTCTTTCTGCTTCCTGACTGAAGAGGCCATGAGACCAGTCACCTCACATCCCTGCCACCATGCCTTTCCCACCGTGGTGGACTTATAGAATTTCCAGGTATGAGTCAAATAATTACAAGTAACAAATTCAGTTACAAGGTTGAAGCAGCAGAGTGTGTGCCCTCATGATGCGCTTGTGTACACCCTTCTAAGGGCTCCATGTTCCTCAAGAATAGGGGGCAGTCTGTCCAGTGCTGAAGCAGCAAGCCTGTCAGCTCAGTCATGATCTTACCTCTACTGTAGTAGAGGCTGGCCAATCTCTGTAGAGGGCAGGGTGGGGATTATTTACATCACTAAGGACCACATGATCTGAGGATTTCTGTAACATCAACTTGGCTTGCTATTGGGGTTAAGAGTAGGCTACCTCGCATAAATGAAGGTTATGGGGAAACTTAAATTATAGCAGCAGTGGGGGGTAGGAAATGGATTGGTCTGCTAGCTGTGGCGGGCTGACTCTTAATCCAGTGTAACTCCTTGCTTTCTTATTAAGGTAAGTTCATCAAAGCGTAAAAGGAACTTGTTGATATGAGAGCGAGGGCCGGAGATAGTGCCTGTGACAACAGCAGACTCTAGGACTGAGAATCTATTTCCCACACTGATCAGACTCCAGTACAATACTATAAAGCCTCTGAGATGCTCCTGACACTGAGAAAATGAACCGTCACTACTGTCCAACTTGGGTGTCAATATTTGCTCTCTGAAGGAGGTTCATGGCCACTGAACATGTGGATACAGAACTGGGACACATGAAGAAGGGTTTCCCTGTAGGCTTGGGATGCTGAGAGTTCCCTAAAACCTCCTTGACCTCGGTACATGCTGGGAGGAGATCCCCAAGGTACTCCCACAGTGCAGGAACCCTGAGGATTCTCTCTGCTAGCAGTACTTCCCCTTCAACACACAACTTCGACTTCACCTACCAGCCCTCTGTCTCTGTCTCTGTCTCTCTGGGCATGTGCTGGGGGAGCTGGCCTGGCCTCAGACCAATATGGTACACTCTATCTGCATAGCTAGTGAATGAAGTTCTGGGGAGAGGGGGACATGATGAATGTGTGACACGACCCATGCCTCGGGTTTTCTGTTTAATACATGCTTTAGTTGAACCTTGTTGGGAACAGGCTTCTGGTCTCAGACCCTGGGAATCCCTATGTCCTGTCTGTTGATACTCCGAAGCTCCGGAAGCCCCAGACGTCAATGTGCATGTGTGGAAGGCGGGGTTGGAGCAGGTTTCTCTTCATACACTTCTGATGGCAGTGAGAGAGGCGACCTTGTAACTTTATCAAAGAAGGTCCATTCGGCTGTGGCATGGAGGGGAGACCTAAGGGAGGTTTCCAAGGCAGCAATTTCAAGTCTATGGCTGGTTTACTCAGGGCCATTACTCTACCTGGAGAGATTCACTACAGGTAAAGGGAAGTGATCTGCCTCTGAGCAGACTGCAAGCACCCTCCTTCCACTGTGAGGCCAACAGGGTAGCCCCAGCCCCTAGCAGAAATCTATTAATATGCTCATTGTTCTTCCCACTGCTCAATCCTTCCAGGTGTGCATACAAGCAGGGATCAGTCCGTGATGAAGTTCAGAGCGGAGAGCATTCATGCACTTCTCTTAGAACGTATAGACGTGTCTCTCAGCTTTCCTGCCACCTGTGTCTATTAATAAACCACTGTCCATGCTGTGTCTAATACAGCATAGTACATCTATTATATTATATATGCACATGTATGCACACGAGATATGTTAACATGAAGCAAGTCATGCTTTCTTGGGGGAACAAAAGAAGCCAGTGGTAACCCCACTCTGTCAAAGACATGCTTATCCTGCAGAACTTCTCTTCAGGAGACTGGGATTAACGTAAGTTTCTTCAGGACCTGTTGTAGGAGGCTGCTTGTTCATTCCCAGTTGCTCAGCCCCCGAAATAAGCACACAGAAACTAAATTAAATCACTGCTTAGCCTATTAGCTCTAGCTTATTATTGGCTAGTTCTTACATCTTAATTTAACCCATTTCTATTAATCTGTGTATCACCATGTGGGTGTGGCTTACCGCCAAGGTTCTGGCTCATCTGTTCCCAGCAGCGGCTACATGGCGTCTCCTGACTCTGCCTTCTTTTTCCCAGCATTCAGTTTAGTTTTCCCCACCTATCTCTATTCTGCCATGTGCAGGCCCAAGACAGCTTCTTTATTCATTAACAAATAAAAGCAACACATATACAGAAGGACCTCCCACATCAAGGACCCTCGGTGAACCAGATCACAAGAGCTCTATTAGAAAATACTTGATCATTTTTTATGAAGGCGGTTTACATTTTTAGACAGATGGGATGCTAAAATATTCTGAGGTACCAGCACCCAACACACCCTCATGTACTCCCTGTGACTGTGTTAAATGATTCCACTAATATCCTTATAGTGGTGGGTTAGATCCTATTGGGAAGACACTGCACACTGAACACTGAGGACTCTGGTTCTTGTTAGGGCTGGAAATGCATCTGGCCATGTTATTAATCACTGTGAGATTTTTTTCTTTTAATAGACAAAGGGATCAAGTTGGGATAGCATGGACTTCCAGAAAGACTGGAAAGAAACATAAGTAGCCTTCCATCTTCCTTGGCACACACTCAGATGCTACAGGGCAGGCATGCACAAGAGCATGCTCTGTGGCCCTCTCTCTAGAGTGAGCCCAGTGGGTAGAAGGTTCCAGAAAGCAAAAGCAGTATCTGAGAACCCTCCCTGGCCTCCAGATGGTCAAAGACTTCATGGAGACAGGTCAAGAATCTAAAATGAAAATCCAGGTTTCTGGGTCAGTTGAGACACACGGGGCTGAATAGAGAGTCTTTTGAAGGCTGAAGTCACTGTAGGACTTCTCCATAACTAAAAACGTTAGAAAATCATCTAAACAAGCTTCCTCCCAAGGCGTCCTCCGTGGACTAAACTTTGAAGGAAGGAAGCAAGTCACAGTGAGCTTTCTGATCTTATCTCTAGGTTGGCCCAAGGAGCTGGCTAGACTACACAGCTTGTTCTAGGTCCCACTGCTAACATTCCACCTGGCCCGCACTTCTGTGGTATTAAGTCCAGTCCTTTTAAAACATCACTCAGAGGTAGGCTGCGAAGATGTTTTCTAGTAAGAGTTTTCGGTATTTTTTTAACCTAAGTTAAGGTGATTCATTTCTGGTGCAAGAGCCAGGATCTTTTAGACGAAGCCAGACCACCGAGAGGAAAAAGAAAGCTCAACATTATCTGGCAGAAAAACCGACCCAGCTACACTTTTGAATTTGATGTCACAGACAGTTCATTTTCCTGTGGTTAAAACAACTCTAAGTCTCTGTGAAAAGCCCATGAAAATGAGTTTTAAAGAGTCTGAGGTTCTTGGAGATCCAAAGCAATCGGTTCTATAACTCCTTGTTCTGTCTTTAATGCTGCACAGCCTTAGGTTTGAGGTAAGCTGTCCCAGGGCGAACTGAGCCATTTAAAGAAACAGACTCTGGGAAACAAACTTCAAAGTCATTAAAAATCCTTATTGGCCTTGTAAAACATTTATTTAATCTAATTTCATGTGCATATATGCAATTTATATGTGTTTACCTGCATGAATGTATGTGAACCACACACATGCCATGTTCATGGAGGCCAGAAAAGGGCATCAGACCCCCCAGAACTGGAGTTAGAGATGGTCATGAGCCACACAATCAGGATCATGTGCAAGAACCATTCAGTGTTTTCAACTGCTGAGTCCTCTCTCCAACCCTGACTGATTTTTGAAGTTATCCATGCATACACATGAACACATATACGTATACATGTGTGTATATATTACATTTTAAGTAAATTAGAAATGATCTCTAGCATTGCTCCTGTTTTCTTCTGACGCCTCACATGTTTGGGCATCCATGGTCACTTTGTCACAGCTGCATCCTGCCTCGCATTTAGTGTTTCCACGCAGGTACGTCACCTTGGGATCTGGTTCAACAGCAGACCTCTGACACAGGCTCATGGTGTCTAGGGAGAGGGGGTGTGGTCACAGCAGCTCCCGCTGCATGGTCAAAGCACTCCCTAGATGCCCTTCTAGGGGCTCTGCAGCAGAAGCCACCCACACTGCACGTCTCTGATCTTCTCTTTGCAGGTGACCTCAAGTCTCTGAGAGCAGAGCAAATGGGGCCTCTAGGTTCTTTCAAACATCATCTTACAACTGCGCAGCTCACCCAACATTCGGCATGTCTCAGGGCTTGGCAATGGAATCATCAAAAGAAGTTAACACCCCTCTGAATATACTCCACACATCCATTTCTCTGTCTTTGCCAGCACTGGATCTAGTAAGCAGAGGTCTCTTAAGGGCCCAACAGGAGAGGAGAAGTTGGTTCTCAGGGTGGGAGGCACGGTCAGATTCCCCACTAGAGTTAGAAACCGCAGAAGTCACCCAGTTGCCATGGGTGTGGACCGTGGTATGTCAGCCTGAAATACTCACTGAGGCCCAAGGCTCAGTTACTCACGAGCACTGCTATCTAAGCCTTCAAGGGGTAGTGAAACAGAATGGGATGAATCTAGACTCTGTGCTCAACAATGGTACCTGCAGGGGTATCAAGCTCTGGGCCTTCCTTGCACACCGTTATCTTTTAAACACAGGGGGAGTCTAAGAGTTTGAAACCATTAAACCCAACCCCAGCTGAAGAAAAATACGGACTAGGGATCTCCTTAAGCCAGCAAGAATCCCCAATCTCTGTATATAAATAGTATCTCCTGAGTTCCTTCTGCTGCCAAGTAGGTCACAAGCCCAGGCTGCCAGGCTGTGAACGGCTCGAAGAATTCTACCACAACATTATTTCAGAGGTGCGATTTGCAGGAATGCTTTCATCCTTCTTGCATCTTTTCCCACTCCCATCAAATGATGGACACTCACGTCTCTCAAAAGAAAGCTCCATAAACACTACTCACCTTCTTCTGTGGGATTCGAAACTGGCTAACACAGCAGGTCACTTACCTCTTTCAAATTGTAGCTTTTTATATCTTTGCATAATTTCAGATGCAACCATACACTCAATCTGCAAAGAAAAAAAATAGACATAAAAATTATAAGATTCAGAGGGCTAAAATATAATGCAACATGAGGCCAAGGAGAAAACAACAGGATTCAGATAAGCCAGCCACAGCCCATCATACACAGATGACAAAATCATGCATTCCCTCCATGAACATGCCTCATTCTCCTGAAGGTGGCCCTGTTTAGGGCACGCAGCATCCGGGCAGCTAATTGCAGTTTCTAGTCCTTCTTTGATCAAGAGCTCAACATACTGTTTCAGGCACTGAAAGAAAGAAAAGTGTATAAACACCCATACTTCCCAAATACCAAAGACAAAGTGATGTGTCAAGCAAACGGCTAGCTATTAACCCTGAGAGCTACGTTAATAACTAGGCTGGCAAGATATGCCTATTGGGGCAATAAAGGTATGGATGTTACAGTAATAACCAACCACTTTCTGATTGGGATTTAAAGTCTAGTCATTAAGGCAGAACTCATACTTGGTACTGTTAACTGCATATAACACGTGGCTGTCTAGGTCATAGGCCCTAGGAATAAATCTACTATTTTTCCCCTAAAAGGCCAGCATATTAAGTTCCCTAAGTTGTTAGCACCATAGAGGAGTGCATCTCTCAACCTTCACCAGAAAAGTTTCTTCAGTAAAGAGTTATTAATACAAGTCCTACAACTAGCCAATGTGCACAGAGTAAGAGACGTCAAAGTGTTCAGCTCTCAATGGGACAGCAACATCATACCCCTACTTACAAGGCTCTGGGATCACTGAAGAAGAAGAGGCAGAAAGAATGTTGGCCAGAGGAAGAGAAACAGTTTTTGACAGATATGAGCAAGAGAGGGAAAGGGGGAAAATGGTAAGATAAAGAGAGGGAGGGAGTAGAAGAGGGAAGTCAGGACCAACTTCGATAAGAGCCATTCTCAAGGCAGCTTTCCAGAGACTTGCATCATGGGCCAGGTATTGCCCTCGGCTCAAAGTCCGTGTTTATCACCCTGTGGGTCGTGAGCCCTTTGGGGGTCAAACAGTCCTTTCACAGGGGTCAAATGTCAGATACCTTACATATTAGAAATCTTACATATCACATATTTACATTATGATTCATAATAGTAGAAAACTACAGTTATGAAGCAGCAGTGAAAATAATTTTATGGTTGGATGTCACAACATGAGGGACCGTATTAAAGGGTTGCAGCATTAGAAAGGCTGAGGACCAGCTGGCATTGGTGAGCTCCTATTAGCTCAGGTAGACTGTTTCAGTGGGTGAACTCATCATGGCCTTGACCTCTTTGATAATATTCTCATTCCTCCCACTCTTCAATTTCACTTTAGGAGCTCAGTCCGGTGCTCCAATGCGGATCTCTGTCTCTGCTTTCATCAGGTGCTGGATGAAGGTTTTATGGTCATATTTAAGATAGTCATCAGTCTGACTACAGGACAAATCAAGATCAGGCCCCCTCTCCTCTACTGCTTAGGATCTTAGCCTGGGTCATCCTTGTGGATTCCTGGGAATTTCTCTAGAGCCAGGTTTCTTGCTAACTCCATAATGGCTCCCTCCATCAAGATATCTCTTTCCTTGCTCTCGTCTCGGTCCTGCCTCCATCTCGACTATCCCATTCCCTCAAGTTCTCCTCACCCCTCCCCTTCTTCTCTCCTTTTCCCCTTCCACCCTCACTCCTCCCCCCCATGCTCCCAATTTTGTCATGCTATTGTCTGTTTCCAATTTCCAGGTGGATCTATATATGGTTTTCTTTGGGTTCACCTTATTACTTAGTTTCTCTAGGATCATGAACTATAGGCTCAATGGGAAGGAGCGAGCATAGGACCAAACTAGTTCCTCTGAATGTTGCTGACAGTTGCATGGCTGGGGCAGACTGAGGGGCCACTGGCAGTGGCACGCAGGATTTATCCGTACTGCATACACTGACTTTTTAAGATCCTATTCTTTTTGGATATATACCTTGCTCAGTCTAGATATAGTAGGGAGGGCCTTGGACCTTCCACAGAGCAATGTGTTTTACCCTCTCTGAGGATTAGGTTGGGGTAGGGTGGGAAGGAGTGTGGAGGGAATGGGAGGAGGGGAGGGAGTGGGAACTTGGATTGATAGTCTTTGAAAATCTAATTAATTAATTAATTAAAAAATGTTGAGAACCACTGCTCTAAGCAGGGGCCCTTGGGCATCAGCCCTACCTTAGTGCATCTGCCAGGGCTCTGATGAGGACTGTGGTTCTGACCATGGCCCACCTACATCTACCTGTGGATGAGAGATGCTCTGGAGTTCTGCCTGAGGCACAAGATGGTGGTGTTACCAGAAACAAACTAATTATCACCCATGGGAAGTCTTCCCAAGACAAGAGAGGGCAGGTAACCAGAAAAGATAGGAATATTGCCAACTCCTGCTCAGGCTACAGTGCCAGTCCCCTCCAACCAGCATTGTGGATCTGCTATGAGGTTGACACTTGACTTGGCGGTGAAGGTCTATTCTATGTATGGCAGGCAGGGAAATGGCATGTCTTGCCCATGGCGCCAATGTGAAAAGGGAGCATGACCCTGTGGTCTTTGCAGTCAGACAGACTCAGGCAAACTTGGTCCCTCTACTGAGGCCACGGGGGCACGTCCTTGATGTGCCTGGCACCTAGTTCCCTGGATGATAAAATCAGCATGCTTGTCTCACCTGGCTTTCTTGACAGACAGAAATAATACCCAAATACCTGGTATAATCTTGGTGTATCAGCTAAGTAAGCAGGGGCTGTTGTCTCATTTGCTCGCCTGAGCTGTATGCCATTTACAGTCACAGGTGTAAAAAAGCCCAAATCCTTAGCAACAAAATCATTGCTTTACTGTCTATAATTAAATCTGTCTAATTGGGTCTCTGGGGGAACCTGGAATGTCTCAAACCAACCGAACTCAGAAAACTCTCGAACAACTCTGGCCACAGTCCAATATAATGGCACAGCCTCATTCTCTCTAAATGGGGAAACAGGACAATTAAATCAGGTGAGAGATGGATGCCCTTGGGAGTCTCCCAACTGTTCAAAGGCTCATTTATGGCCACAAGCAGTGAGTCATGTCTGGGCGGCTGCAACCCGAAAAGCAAGCTCAGCAGCCCGAAGGGTTGCATCCCCGAGTAGCACAGACCGGGATTATGTCATGGGAATATTGATTTGTTCACTCGAGTGGCTGCTCCTGCGTTCATCACCACCAGCCCCGGCCCTCTTCCAGACACAAAGTGGGTCATGACTCACAAGCCTTGTTTGCCAATCTAATAGCAAAAAGATGTCTTAAAGAGAGCGCATACGCGCTCACACTCACACACACACACAAATTAGACAACCAGGAAAACTTCTGTTACAATAGATAAACATCCCCCAGGCAGGAATGGATACCGTTTCTAATGTAGCTCTCATCTTTTTTAATCAAATGCCTTCCAAATAGCAGACTGTTGTTAGTCATTTGCCTCTGTTAGCCCAATAAATAGCCCTAAAACCGAAACCGTGGGAGGTATTATCACTACCATTTACTACAGTGAAAGTGAGGGCTTAGGGAGTCAAACACTGCCCAGAGCTGTGTTTTACAAACATCATAGGCACTAAGCCCCCAGAGCACACGTGCCTGACTCCAAGGTCTGCTCCATTTTCTTGTGTGATTTCTCCTTCTTTTTCTCCCTCAATTAACTCCTTAAACTGGGTCTGGCGATTTAGGCCTATAATCCCAGAACTTTGGTGGATGAGGCAGGAGGATAATGAGCTCAACATCACCCTGGCTACACAATGAGTTCTTGTTATATAGCTGGCCATTCTGAACTAGAGAGTAAAACCCTATCTCAGAAGACTAATACACACACACACACACACACACACACACACACACACGTGCGCGTGCACACACACACACCTATACACACGACACACATGCACACCACACACACAGACTTACACACACACCATACACATCTACACATCTACACCACACATCACACACACTTACATACACCAAATATACACACGTACACCCCCCCACACACACAGAGGCTCTTATAGCATAACCAATCATTTTTGAAGCATCTCTGTTCCATCAGAAAATTTCCATCGAAAAAAAGACTTCATCCACTAAACTGACATCTGGATCAACACAAAGGCACAACGTAGTTTTTATTGTCAATGTGACACAATCTTAGAACCACTTGGGAAGAGCTAACTCAACCAGAAAATTGCTTCAATCAGACTGCCCTGTGGCTGTGACTTATGAGCGGCTGTCTTGATTTCCAAGTGATGCAGGAAGGCCTAGCGCACTGTAGGGGTTGCCATCCTAGACAAGGTGGGGCCTGAGCTATGTGAGAAAGGCAGGATGAGCCAGGGAGCAGCCTTCTCCAATGCTTCTGCTTCAAGTTCTTGCCCAGCCAGAATTCCCTCAAAGACGAAGTCTAATCTCCAAGATGAAGTAAATCGCTTCCTCTTCTGGTCATGGTGTTTACAGCAGCAACAGAAAACAAACCAAGACAGCGGGGTACAGTGTCACCTGCTACCAACAAACGCTTGGGAGATCAAAGGTTGGGCCTCAGGAGCAAAGGACCTCCAGGAAAGAAGCATGGACTATGGAAAGGAGTGGAGAGCAGGAGTGGGGTCACAGAATGTTCCAGGCATTGCAGTTTCCAACTGTTTGGAAGTGTTGAAAAGAGATCTCTAGTGATTGGCCAGAACCCCCCCCCACACACACACACACGACTGCACTAGAAGCTTCCTACCAAGGAACAGTGGCCACAGAAACTGGTCTGGCGCTCCAGTTAGTCAACTGTGACTGCTTTGACTCCGAGGGCCTGCTTGGCTGCTGATCAACCCATTGACAAGATCCCAGACACTGTGGCTCACTCAGACCTGGGTGGTCTGGGTTAATCACAAACCATAGTCAACAAAGACCACTTGGGTAGCTTAGCTGCAGACCAAAGCGGTGGGCCCCGAGAATAGCATTTTGGCAGCAAGGACCCTGGAATCACAGTTAGGTTTGGATGCTGGCTCGCCCATGAACCCCTCTTGTCACAATGGCTAAAGCCATCATCTGGGAGCCTTCTGCCCAGTGTGTGGGGAAAGCTTGGCCGACACGGGAAACGCCACTCTCCAATGTGTGCGCTTCAGAGACAAACTGTTCCAGGTGAAGGCAGGACGTCAGCATTCTCCCAGCATTTCCAGAGCTGACAGTGAAGGACCTTTGTGTTTCTCCGCCATCAGATGGCAGGTTTTCTGAAGGTCAGAAAAGCTTAGCATTCTTCCATTACC